CTTCTGCCTCCTGAGTGCTGGGATTAAAGGAGTGAGCCACCATTAATTTTACAATATTTGTGTGTGTGTGTGTGTGTGTGTGTGTGTGTGTGTGTGTGTGTAGCTACAACTTGTGGGAGTTGGTTCTCTCTTTCCACAATGTGGGTCCCAGGAATCAAACTCAAACTCAGGTTGTAGGCTTGGTAGCTGCATTAGTAAGGGTTCTCTAGAGGAACGGAAGTAACAGAATGAATCTATATCAAACGGAATCTATATTGAAAGGCCATTTATTTGAGTGGCTTACAAGCTGTGGTCCAACTAGTCCAACAACTGCTGTCTCCTGACAGAAAGGCCAAGACTCTGGAGTCGTTCACTTCACAAGGCTCAGGTCTCAGGTGGGCTTCAGTCCAAGTAGGTTCTAATACCATTGAGGAAATGTCTTGACAGCAGGACAGATCTCCCAGCAAGAGAATGGGCAGGCAGGCTAAAAGCAGTGTTTTTCTTTTATGTAGGCTGCCACCAGAAGGTGTGGCCCAGATTTAGGGTGGGTCTTCCCACCTCAAAGGAGCCAGTCAAGAAAAATACCCGACAGGTGTGCCCAGCTGCTTGGGTTTTAGTTGATTCCAGATGTGATCAAGTTGACAACCCAGATTAGCACCCCAGTGGAACAGCATTTATCTACTAAGCCATCTTACCAAACCATAACACTCTTGCTTTAATGAAAATTCCTAGGCTGAAGAGATGGACCAGTGGTTAAGAATATTTGCTGCTCTTGCAGAAGACCTGGGGTCCAGTTCCCAGCACCCCCCCATAACTCTAGTTTGAGGGGCTCTAACACCTCCATCTAACCTCTGGAGGGCAGCAGGAACACGTGCTGCACATATATACAGGCAGATAAAACATTTATACACATTAAATAGAAATGTCTTTAAAAAGAACAAAAACTTAAACAGTGTGTGTGTGTGTGTGTGTGTGTGTGTGTGTGTGTGTGTGTGTGTGTGATCATATACCATACACAGAGTTTAGGCACAATGGATCACACTCACCAAATAGGAAATAGAGGGAACAGTTCAAATGCCAAATTCTCAGATGCCTGCCATGGGCCAATCTCACAAGCAAGCCCTGCAAAGGCAGAAGCTATGGATCTGCTCTGTTAACTCTTTTGCACAGAAGTGATTGCTAAATATGGTCAGTGTTTCTAAGTGCTTTCCAAAACAAGTAGTTTTATGGACTTTAAATTATACTGTGGTCTTGAGAACTCAAGCAATTATGACAAGAAACAAAACTAACAAGGTTACAATTAAGGAATTTGAAGGTCTTGTTTTGTATTGATTTGGTTACTGGCAACCAAAGCCAGGGCCTTGTTCATGATAAGCAAGCATTCTGTCAAACACACACACACACACACTCTACCATCCACCTATATCCAGGGCTCCCACAATGTTCTTTTAAATGTTATTTGTTTGTTTTTATGTTTATAGAGTGTGTCTGTGTCCATCATCTTACCTATCTTCCATGTTTTTGTGACTAATGAACTAATGAACAGGAAACAAGTTGAGCTCGAAGTGCACTTTCCAGTTTGCTGAATGAGAAAGAAAGCTGTTACTGTTAAAGATGAAGGACAATCTTAAGAATCACCCAGTTTAGGAACTGGCGAGATGGTTCAGTCATTAAGGGGGGAACTGCTCTTCCAGAAGACCTGGGTTTGATTACCAGCACCCATATAGTGGCTCATAAGCATCTACAACTCTAGCCCTAAGGGTTCTGATGCCTTCCTCTGGTCTCCACGGGCACACCATCCAAGTGGTGCGTAGATATACATGCAGGCAAAACACTCACACATAAAATAAGATAACTTTAAGAAGTGACCCAGTTCAGGCTGGCAAGATTAACATGTGGACAGAGACTCTTGCCACCACGCCTGACAACCTGAGCCCAGAACCCACATGGTGAAGGGGAACCAGCTCCCACAAGTTCTGACTTCCTTCTTCCCTCTCTACTTCTCTAAACAAATGTAAACATGATTTTTTTTGGAGGGGGTGTTAAGGTTTATTTATTTTTATTTCATTAGTGCATTAGTGTTTTCCTTTGTGTAGCTCTGTGTACCATAAGCATGCAGTGCCCATGGAGAACAGAAGAGGCTATCAGAACCCCTGGAACTGGAGTTATAGACAGCTGTGAGCATCATGTGGGTGCTGGAACTTGAACCTGGGTCCTCCAGAACAGCAGCCAGTGCTCTTAACTGCTAAGCCATCTCTCCAGCCCTTCATAGGCTGGTTTTTATTCATGTCTTTTTATTGACCTTCCTAACACCCCCACCAATTATTGTTCTGCATTTTGGGTTTTGGGATTTTTTTTTTTTTTCAGACAGGGTTTCTCTGTGTAGCTTTGCGCCTTTCCTGGATCTTGTGCTGTAGACCAGGCTGGCCTCGAACTCACAGAGATCCGCCTGCCTCTGCCTCCCGAGTGCTGGGATTAAAGGCGTGCGCCACCACCGCCCGGCGGGTTTTGGGATTTTACAAAAGAGAACCAGCATGTGGATTGACCTGTCAATCATACTTACGTAATGGCACACGCTGTCAACTCCAGCACTTGGGAAGCTGAAGCAGGTGGAGCTCTGCTTGGTATCCTTCAGGAGTTCAGGAAAGCCAGAGCTTTGTGAGATCCTGTCTCCACCAAAGGGGGCAAGGTGGGGTGGGGGAGTTTGTTCAGTTCATAAAGACCCATGCAGCCAAGCCTGGCAACCTGTCCATCTCTAGCACCCACATGGTGGAGAGAGAAAACTGACTCCTGCAAGGTGTCCAGTCATCTACCTCCACATGCCCACAATAGCACATAACTAAAAAGAAAATAAAGTGAGGGTTTGAACAGATGCTCTTCCAGAGGACTCCTGTTTGGTTCCCTGCACTCATGTGGTAGCCCACATGATTCCAGTTCTAAAGAAATGCCCTCTTTGAACCTCTGTAAATAGCAAGCACATACATGGTGTACAGAACATATATGCAGGCAAACACTCATACACATAAAATAAAAATAAAATAGTTTTTAAAAAGCAAGTAATAAGAGATAAAAATTTATTTAATGGTTGTACCACTCAAACTCATATTCTTACACTTACACATACACCTTTTTCCTTTTGAGTCAGGGTCCTGATATGTTGTACCAGAATTCCTAGACCATCTAATTTTTTTCACTTAAAGATGTTATTTTTATTATTTATTTGTGTGTGTGTGTGTGTGTGTGTGTGTGTGTGTGTGTGTGCGCAAGTGCACATGGAGGCCAGAAGAGGTCTTTTGTAATCCCCTGAAGCTGGAGTTATGAGCAATTGTAAACTGACAGACACGGGTAATGAGAACCCAACTCTTGTCCTCTAAAAGAGCAGCTACCACTCAGCCATCTGTCCGGACACTGGGCTGTTTCTGAGTAGCGTGGACTGCAGGTGCATGCCACCATGTCCAGTTTATACTCTCTCTTTAGCCAGAAGTCAGGTTGGTATTAGATCTTCCAGAACCTGTTCACCTTGTAGGTAAGTGATAAAATCAAGTTTGAGAATGTACAAGGTCAAAGACCAGTTCACTCTGCCTTTCAGCATCTCCCACTAGCAGGCAGCTGTGTAGGTCATCCTGGTTCTTATCCTGATCAGGAAATATTCTCTTTCCACCTTTCAGAAAGTTGGATGGACAAACACCCCCCTCCCTTCAGTGCTAACGTCTCTTCACACATTCCTGGGAGAAAAGAAGCTGACTTTTATCGTTAATCCATTCAGTGCCTAGCCCTGAGCAAAACGCTTCCTATGTGAGCTCATTAAATCTTCGCTTGTTTTGGATAATCAAACAGGCTATGAGCACTGGAGCTTTTTTCCTAAAGACTACACAGTAGGTAACTGTAAAGGACGAAACTCAGGTCTGACTAAAACCTGTCTTCTTCCCACCATGCTTAGTTGCTGTAACAGAAGCTGGTTGGCCTCCTTAATCCTGGGATTATATCCTCCAACCCCCCCATCCCAGCTCCAAGCGTATCTTTCATCTTCCGAGATAAGGGTTGGTATGTCTTCTGACACATCTTTCTCTGCTGAAGCAATCCTGAATTTAGTTCTCAGCCCACTAACAGTTCACTGCCCATTCCTGCCACTGCACCTTCTCGAAACACACCACCTTTTGATGCAGTCTGATGCTACCATCTCTTAAATACGCAGTCGATGTGCAGATCAGAAAACACTTTCAGACACAGTGCTCTATCTGTCCTCCCCCACAATCTGATGAGGAGGGCAAAAAGCGGGGCGCGGTGCGGGGAGGACTATCCCATTTTAAGAGAAAGACACCTCTCCAAGGTCACGGAATGAAAAATGAGAAATTCAGGACCGAAGGCCCAGATTGGACCCTTGTCCTTGGCTCATCTCGCCACGCCTCGCAGGCGCTCACGGTCCAGCCACAGCCTCCGCCGCGGAGATGTCACAGGCGCAGTCCGCCCGCCCACAGCCTCCCACTCCCACCGGTACCGGACCTCCCTCCGTCCTGCCGACCGCTCGACTCCTCTCTTCACCAGTCCCCTCTCCCCCCGAGCCCCCCGCCTCGCTGCCTCCTCTCCTAAGGAGCCCCCTCTAGTCGCAAGTGGCCTTCTCAGACCCCAGCAGCGTCCCCCCGCTTCACCACCTCCTCCTGTCAGTCCGCTGCGTTACCTTCTCCAAGGATGCAGGTCTCTGCACAGCCAGGGAACGGGCCAGTGAAAGCACTGTGTTGAAATAAAAGCCTCGGGAGGTGCTGGAGCCAGAGCCGGACCCCGAGCCGCCTCCGCCGCCTCCCCGGGCCCCAGCAGCCGCCATCACAGCGCGCGCCCCGGCGCAGGCGGCTGGGTTCGCAACTCCGGGCCTGCCACCGCCGGACCTCAGCGCGCAGGCGCGGAGGCACCCGGCTTCCCGGCCACGTGACCGCCGTGTCGGCCGCACCGGGCGGCGCCCGGCGTGCTCCCCTCCGCCGCTCGGTGCGGTGGTTGGCTCCGGAGGCGGGGCCGCCGGCGCAGAACTGGCGGAAGCTGCGCTCGCGGCGGCCCCGGTGAGTCCGCCCGCCGGCCCTGGGCTACCGACTCCGGCCCCGGTCGCCCCTCCTGCTTCCCAGGTCCAGGCCGTCGCAGGCACCATGTCCGGCTACCCCAAAAGCTATAATCCTTTCGACGACGACGTGGAGGACGAGGACACCCGGTCGTCGCCGTGGAAGGACGCCCGCGACCCTCCCGACGGGCCCGACGCGCCCATGGACCGTCAGCAGTACCTGCGACAGGAGGTGCTGCGCAGGGCCGAGGCCACGGCCGCCAGCACCAGCAGGTCCTTGTCCCTCATGTATGAATCGGAGAAGGTCGGAGTCGCCTCTTGCGAGGTGAGTCTGGGGCAGAACTGAGCTGAACTGCTGGCCAGTCCTTGCATTAGAAAACGTGAGAAGGGAATGTTTTGTTGACGGTCTTTGGGATTTTTCTAAGAGGGTGTTTACCTCGGGAAGCTACCTTACCTATTATTCTGCATGGTTGATTCCTCCCCCGCTCTCCGGCCTACATGTCTAGTTAAAAGGTAAACTCCAAATTATGTTCTGTCTGAGGGTCAGAACTGAGTAAAACGGCCCAAGTGCGGGCCTGTATTAGGGAAATAGTGTCTGTTTCGTTTGTATGTAACTTCTTGGGTAGAAGTCTTAGGCTGTTCCTCTCTAGTGACCCAGTTAAAACGTAGACTGTGTATGCCCCGGGTGCCAGGTGATGCCTGTTCTTCTCACATCCTCGACCACTTTACACCTTATTAATGGGAGTATTTGAGCCCCTTTGCCTGGACTCCTGCTCAGGAAGCCAGATCTTGACTTGTATCTAGCCCCTTATTATAGATAACGTGTTGATGTGACAAGCTGTTGTTCCAGTCAGCTCTTTCCGTCCATAGAAATTTTCAGGAACTGCCGGGGGCGGCGGGGCGCACGCCTTTGATCCCCGCACTCGGGAGGCAGAGCCAGAGTTCGAGGCCAGCCTGGTCTACAGAGCGAGATCCAGGACAGGCACCAAAACAGAGAAACCCTGTCTCGAAAAACAACAACAACAAGAGAGAGAGAGAGAGAGAGAGAGAGAGAGAGAGAGAGAGAGAGAGAGAGAGAGAGAGAGAGAGAGAGAGAGAGAGAGAGAGAATTTCAGGAACTAAGAACTTTGCTTTGTCTTTCTTTAATATATGTGTCTGTGTGTGTATGCCCACATGTGGAGGTGTCTCCTGAAGCCAGAAGAGGGCACCAGGGGATCCCTTGGAGCTGGAGTTAATAGTTGTGACTGGGAACTGAGCTGGTCTTCTGAAATCTCTTAAGACCTTTTCTGGGGGGAGGTTTGGTTTGGTGGGCAGTCTACCTATGAAGCCCAGGCTGGCCTGGGACTTAGAATCCTCTGGCCTCAGTCTCTCTAGTGCTGGGATTACAGGCATGCACCATCATGGAATAAGGATTATTCCAAGACTCCAGGTTGACCCCTAAATCTGCTAATAAAACAGTTGTTTGGGCAGAAGAAAATTAAGAAATTACTGATACATCAGCTAAGAATAATCTTAAGCATTTTGCAGTTTTGAAAAGTAATATAGTTGAAACAAAATGTTGTCTTCCTCTCCCAGCCTTCCTCCTCTGACAACAGGGACGGGGGCCAATCTGCAGGGTATTAATTACCTCCTCATACGTCATTGCTACTGTCTCACCTGCTCTCTACCCATCCCTGCTCGGGCTCCCTGGATGCAGGTGTATCGGCTGCCTCTAAGAAGTTGTGAATATGATTCTTAATCCGTGTACTGGATGCTTAATGTTCCAGTCCAGATCAGTTGGGGGCCTCGGGGCCTTGGTGAACAGGTCACTTTGTTTTGAGATAAGGTCTTGTAGTGTAGCCCAGACTGACCTTGAACTCAAGATCCTCCTGCCTCGGCCTCCATAGTGCTGAGGTCATAGACATGCTTCAAATGCTCACTGTGAAGAGGTAGGTCCTCTGGAAGAGCCGGAAGCACTCTGACCTGCCCAGGTCTCCAGCACCAAAGAGAACCTTTCTCAATAGTATCATGTAATCCTGACTGTCCTGGAACTTAGGTAGAGCAGGCTGGCTCAGTCTTAGAGAGATACCTGACTTTGTTCCTGGGAGTGCTAAGATTCAGGGTATGTGCCACCACACCCAGCATTTTCACTCTTTTTAACTTTAAAGTGAGGTATTCTGTATCTTATTTAGAAGTAATGAAGATTATTTCATACATAGTTAAATACAGTGAGGATTTTTTGGGGGGGAGGGAGAGGCAGGCTAATGGCCATATTGTATTCCACTAAATAGATGACTTCTGTTTATGAGCCATCCTCCTAATAGTGGATGTTACAATACCACTTCCTACATGGACATTGTCAGAGCTGTTCATCTTCCCAGGACGCGCTGCCTCTCCTGTAGCAGTATAGCATTCTACAGTGATTTTTTTTTTCCCGGAGCCTGGTGTCTCAATTCGGCAGAGCTCCACAACAAACCTACTGTTGATGGGCACTGTGCCGGCACCAGTGGAAAAGGACTGGTGTTTGGTGAAGTTGACACATAATGTGCTCAGCCGCCTTGGCTAGCACATGCTTCTCAGAGGCCTGCTCATCTTTAAATCTTCCCAGTGCCTGGGACCGAAGCCACACTGGGCATTCAATTCAGAGAGGTGGAGAGACAGAGAGATAGCATCCCTCTTAACCCGGAGCAGAGTGGCAAGACAAACTAAAGGTTTTCCCCAGTTAGAGTAAATCTGTTGCCATAGGGATATTCCTGTTTTCTAGAAAGCTAGTGGGGAGCGTCATTCCCTGTGAGGGCTTCCTAACTAGACCTGCCCCTCTACGGTCGTTCATGGTGACTCTAATGAAGCCTATTTCTCAGCAAAGGCTGATAAGGACAGAAAGACAGCTCCTAGATCAATTCCTCTCCAGTCCTCAGTGATTTGTTGATTTATTGATTCAGGGGTTTTTTTGAGACAGGATTTCTCTGTGAAACAGTCCTGGCTATCTTTACTCACTCTGTAGACCAGGCTGGCCTCAAACTCACAAAGGTCCGCCTGCCTCTGCTTCCTGAGTGCTGGGATTAAAGGCATGCACCATCACCACCTGGCGATTTTTTTTTTTTTTTAATGTAACCTAATAACCAATTTGTTTTTCTGAATCCACTCCATGCCAAGGAAATCTCTGGCTCATACAGAACCCAGCAAGTTCCACGTTTGCTCAGCCATACCAGCTAGAATCTGTTAGTGTGGGTGTTTATTACCTTGGTAGAGGAGAAAAATGATAGGAAAAGTTTCTTTTTCTTTTTCTTTTTCTTTTTTTCCCCTTTCTGAAATAGAATTTTATATTGCCTGGGTTCAGTGCACTGACCCCAGATTGACATTCATGTACTTATCAGTTAATAGCTAAATTTAATTTCAAACTCATTATGAGGCCTACCTGATGTTACAGGGCGCCCTAGCTGTAGATTGTGGTGTGACCCAGTGGTTATTGCTGTCCTGGGGGAGTGGGGGCCTCAACATCATTTGCTGTGTGTTTCCTACTGGGTCTCGATGGGTCCCACCCACACTCTTCTGTGCTCATCACACAGTTCCACTTCCCCTCAGTTACTCCAGCTGCCTAGACTAACTGCTTTCTTCAGCATTTACTCCACCCCACCCTTGGGACTCTGATACAATCCTTAAACCAGGCCAAGAATCCTTACTGGGCCTTGGTTCCCTGTGACAAAGAAACAACCATGTGTGTAATGACCTTTTTGTTGTTTTTCCCATGTAACTGAGCTCAATGAAGCAAGGATGTGCATGCCTTCCTCAGTTCTCAGCACCACGGTGTGGTTAGCTAGGGTCAGACTGAACTTGTTCTTACCCTGCAGGAGTGATATGCACCCTCAGGGTGGGGTTCAGACTCTTTAGTCCCATAGATCACTAGCACTGGAAGAACCCTTGGCAGAGAGTGAGTTCTCTTGAGTATCTTGGAGAAAGTCCCACAGACCGTTCCATGCTCAGCCAGCAAGAACTGCTGATCCCCTGAAACTTCACAGTGCCCTGGAACATAACCTCACTTCAGGCAGTCTGTGCTCTTGCATGGTCTTTGTCTCACTGACTTTGGCTTCCTCTTGCTCTCAGGAATCAATCACAGAAAAGAGAAATGGAGGAACTTTGTCTGTGGTTGCTTGGCAACCCAAGCATATCCCCTCTCTTCTTTTTCCTGTTTAAATTTAGAAAACTCCTGGGGCTTAAAGAAGTTGGGGGATCACCTGTAATCTCTCATAGTCACTTGGCCTGTCCATTCTTCACATGGAAGGCATCTTGTGCTTCCTTGTCCTTTGTTTTTGAGACTGAGGATGACCTGTAGGCAGAAGTTTCTTCCCTGCCTATTCCCAAATACCCGGCAGCCACTTCTTAAATAATTGACTCCGAGGCTTAATATTACTTATAAATTATACTTATGTTCAGCCAGTAGCTCAGGCTTATTATAAACTAGCTCTTACACTTAAATTAACCCATATTTCTTATCTATGTTTAGCCACATGGCTTGATACCTTTTCTCAAAATCACATTCTCATCTTGCTTCCTCTGCGTCTGGCTGGAGACTCCTGACTCCGCCTCCTTCTTTCCATCATTCTCAGTTTGACTTTCCTGCCTAACTTCCTACCCAGCAACCAGCCAATCAGCGTTTTATTAAACCAATTCAAGTGACAAATCTTTACAGTGTACAAGAGGTTTATTCCACAGCAATGACCCTGGACTCCTGATTTTCTGGTTTCTCATTCCAAGAGCTGGGATTACAGGCATGTCCCACCACCCCAGTTTACAGAGTGCTGGAGCACATCGTGTGTGCTAGGCAAGCGTCCTTACCAGCTGAGCCACATTCCTTGTCCAGGAGTTCACACCCCCCACCTCCCAGCCACCCTGGGCCTGTGTTGGCCTCATTCTCACAGAGGCAGATGGAAAAGTCAACACAGTCCACTTCTGAGCTATGGAGTATTTGAGTTCTGTCTTCAGCATAGCTGGAGTATGGAGTCTTGGCTAGCCCCTCCTCACAGGGAACACTGAGGGAGCACCTCCAGTTCACCCACCTCGTGCCCTGCCACACCCCTTCCTCAGTCAAAGCATGTTAGGTCCAGTCATTTCCTATCCCTTTTAGGGAGGAGTCTAACCAAAGAAGCTCTTTGCTTGGCTGGTCTCATGTTCTCCAGGGAGCACAGGTTCTGATCCATGGAAACTTCCAGAAGCCAAAGCAGCCCTCCGTCCTCTGGTCTTCTGCCTCTCAGAGGAGAAGCCATCTTTACATATTTCCCTGTGTTCCCGTTGTAACATCTGCATCAGGTGTCTGGGTTCCTCTGCAGCTGAGACTCTGTCACTGTG